CTCTACATAGATAAACCATATATATTTTCAAAAATTATCGAGCATTTTCTTAGAAGAGCCATTTAAATTTTTAAAAGTTATCGAATTGCTTAGAGAAGCTTTTAAAATTTTTAAAAGTTATTGAGTTGCTTAGAGGAGCCTTTAAAATTTTCAAAAGTTATTAAGCCTTTGCTTAGATGAGCCGTTTAAATTTTTAAAAGTTATTGTGCCTCTGGTAAGAGGAGCATTTATGATTTTCTCTTTAAAGTTGTTCGGTTTTTAATGAGAGGAGCTTCTTGATTTGCTAAAAAAAACTTTAGACTTCGGATAAAATTGTTGTCTTTATCTTTGCTCTATTCTTAATTTTCAGCAATGTACAAAGAGAGGCGGCTGATGACACCAAATTTGTCAAGGTACTCTAAATTAGGCATTGGTTTTAAGTTTGTCGAGTTTTATTGGGTTCTTAGGATGAAGCCCATTTCAATTCATTTGACCCAAGGCCCAATTTCATTTTTAGGGGCCTGAGCTCACTATTTATATTTTCATTTTTTTAATTTTATTTTTACTTTATTATTTATATAATTTATAATTAAATATTAAATAAATTAATTAATAAATTAATAACAATTAATAAAAAGGTAAAAATCAGGGGACCGATGACAATGGGTGTTGTGTACAGTACCACTGGCCACCCACTCTCCTATGACCCATACTCTATTAACCTCTCTACCCTTTCAAAATTACCCACCATAGCCTCACCAACTATTTTGCCTGCTGCAACCACTATCATCCCGTTTACAATGTAAATTACAATCAAGGAACGTAAGGGCTTGTCCTCTATTCAAGCCCTATAAAAAGATAATGAAATCTTTATCGGGGGATCGAAGAAAAAATGAGAAGTCCCTACCAAAAAAATCTTGTCAGAAAATAACAAAAAAAGGGTGAGATTTTACTAAAAAAAAAATAAAAAAAAACAAAAAAAAGGCTTTTATCAAACCAAAAAAAAAAAAGGTCCAAGCTGCAGCAATTTACAAAAAAACTCCAAAAAAAAAAAAAACACAAGCCATAGCCCCTGGAATAGAGACCCCGTGCCAACATCAAAAAAGAATTATAAAAAAAAATCAAAAAATAAAAAAGAGAGTAAAAACTTTGGTTTTTTTTTTGTTGTGAAGTTAAAGTGTTTTCCTTAGATCTAGGGAAATTTGGGTGAAAAAGAGGTTGGAACAAGGTAGAAAAGGTCAAGAGGATCATTTAAGTGTTTTTTAGGCTCTTTTCAATCACCGACGATGATAGTTGACGATCACCAGCGACAGCTGGCACAGTACCGATGGTTGATCTTGTTTTTGTTTAAAAGAAAAAAGTTTTTTTTTTTGGTGAAAGAGAAAAACAATGAGCTGAAAAAAAAGCTTTTATATAAGAGGGAAAAGCCAAAACAATGCCATTTTGGACCTTTGGATTTTCAGGTCCACCTACGAGTTGACTCATAACCCGGTTGCCTAACCCGCCTCAGCAACCTTTAACCAGCCTTCAACCAATTCAGTTAAATCGCTCTTAAACTGCTCACTCGAATCAGACTTTACTAAACCACTCCTTTTTCTTTCAAATCCATGCCGGTTCATCCAAATCGGACTAGACCCAGACCACTCGAATCATATGCTGAATCGATTGTTTAAGGTATGTTTTCTTTTTTTTTGTATTTTTTATTTTACTTTTATTTTTATCTTTTTAAGTTTTTTATTATTATTATTTGTGCATGTTCAAATTTTTAAATTTTCTAAAATAAATATTGGTTGCCTTTTTCAATAATAATAACAATAATAATAAATGAAAACAAAAAAAAATAAATAAAGTTTATTTTTTTAATTCCTCCATTTCTAAATAAAAATAAAAATAATAACAATAAATGAGAATAATTCCTAAACTCTTGATAATTTCAAATTTGGAAAAAAACCAAAAAAATAATTAAAAAATAATAAAAATGTAAGAAAGTAAATTTTTATCTGATTATGAGATTTTGAGGTACTCCAAGTAGTGATGTTTTAAAAAAATCTCTATGTGAGAAAAGTTTTTTAGAAACTACCAATGTATTTGAGTATTTATAAAATTTTTTTAATATAATAAAAATTTCTCTTTCCTTCCAAAAATATAAATATAAAAAACTAATAAATTTTTTAAAGGAAAAATAAAATATGTGCATTAACATATTGTCATTCGCATTGCATGCATGATTTTAATTTTACAAAAAGTAAATGCGAGCTTCTGAGGATAAAATTCTATGGTATCCGAGAAACGATGCCTAAAAAATCTTTAGTTGAAGAAAAGTTCTTTTAATGTTACTAATGTATTGAAACATTTTAAGAATTATTTTCAATAAAATGATTGTAATTTATTTTTCTCAAATAAAATGAAATAATAATGAAAAATAATAAAGAAAGGAATAAAAAACCAAAATTTCGCTAATCAAAAGAAGCAAAAAAATTATTGTCAAATACTGAAACTAAGACTGTTTTTGTTAGGATTAAATGATAACACGTAATTAATTGGTACCATTTTAAACAAGCACTATGAAGATATTAATTCTTTTTTACGCATAACCCAAACTATTTCACGACCCTAAAATTATCTTTTAATAAATTTTAATTAATTTTAAGATTTTATTAAAAAAAAAGTTTTAATAGGTGATCAGTTGCAACTAACTAAAAAAGATTGATAGATATATCATTTTTTTCTTTTTTATCTTCAAATTAGTCGAGCGACTCCAAAATTGGTATGAAAAATTTTATAGAAAAAAATTCAAAATTTAGCATAAAATATTTGGGCAACCATCTTTAGTAAAGTAATCGTATCATACCAAACTCAAGCCCATGTCTTTAATTGGAAGGCACATGTAGGTATGAATACCTCTTTTTAACAATGTGATTAGTGAATAATATTATAAATTACTTAAATGTATCATTATAATTAATTTGTACTAATTAAAATATTTAAGCAATTGATCTGATTTTGAGGATCCCATTATATCTAGATTGTATTTTGCTTGACAATTAATTCTGAGATCAGGGAAATTTAGAAAAGCCAAATGATAAAAAGTATTATGGAAAAATGAGGTTCTCTTGATGAGGAACAAAATGAAAGAACAAGAGTTAAATACTCATTTGTCTTTTCATTATATATTTTTTGTTAGTTTGATATTTAGAAAAATATAATTATCTATTTAATATTTCAATTTTTATTTTATCATTCACTTTGGTATATTGAACTAATATTGTTAATCAACTTACTGATATGACACAAATATCCAATTGGATGCTAACATGTGTTAAAAATTCAATCAATACTACATCATCAATGTCAAAAAATTTTAAAAAATTTTAAAGAAATTTTTAATTTTTTTTTAATTTTAAAAATTATGAAATATTTTAAAATTTAAAAAATTTTAAAAATATAAAATTTTTTAAAAATTATAGAAATTTAAAAAATTATGAAAATTTAAAAATTCAAAAAATCTAAAAATTTTAATAAAAATCCAAAAGTTAAAAAATATAAAAATTCCAAAAAATGAAAATGTTAATAAAAATAAATTTACTTAAAATAAAAAAAAAGATTAATAAAAACTTAAAGAAAAACTAAAACTAAAAAAATCTAAATTTTTCTAACAAATCTTGAAGATTTCAAAAAACTTTTAAAAATTTTTGAAAAATTAAAAATTTCAAAAAATCTGGATTATTTTGAAAAGATTAGAAAATTTTCTGAAAAAAAAAAATCTAAAAATTTTAATAAAAAATCCAAGAAAATTCAAAAAGAAATTTTGAAATTTTAAAAATAAATAAATAAATGAAAATTTTAAATTAAAAAATGAAGAATTTGTACAAATTTTTAAAATTTTCAAATTTTTAAAAAAAATTCTTTTTTTTTCAAAAATTTTTAGATTTTTTTAATTTTCAGTTTTTTAAGTTTTTGTGAGTATATTTTTATTTTAAGAAAAATTTTATTTTTTAATTTTTTTACTTTTTTGGATTTTTATTAAAATTTTTTATTTTTTTAATTTTATAGAATTTTAAAATATTTCAATTTTTTATTTTTTATAATTTTTAAAATTTTTTAAAAATATTTATAATTCTTTTAGAAATTTTTTGAAAGTTTATTTTAACACTAATGTGGCAATTGATAATGTAATGTTGATTGGATTTTTTTTATACGTATCAATATTTTATTAAATATTTATACTATTTCAATAAATTAATAAGTTAACTGATGATATTAATCACATGTACAAAATAGATGGTATAATGTCCCTCTTCTCTTGATTTAATGGTTAAAAAGGTTTTATAAAAATATAAAAGTTCTGATTTCGAGTCAGAATCTTTTTTTCTTTTTTCCTTATAAGAGCTATATCCTCCTCTAAAAAAAATAGATGACAAAATAAAAATTAAAATGTAAATTTGATAATTTTATTTTTCTTAAATCCCAAATTAATAAAAAATATATAATATAAGAGTCCAAGTGTGTATTTATCTCGAAGAAAAAAGTATTGATATGGAGAGAAGAAAAGAATTGATCATATATGATATGTGATCATCAGTAGCAATGGTTCAGGTATTTTTGCTGAAAGGCCGATCCCAGTCTTTAAAAGTATAAATGAAGAAATAAGGCATACAAATAAAATTCAGTGAGTGGGAGGCATGACCTAAATTTATGATGACCAGCCATGAGATATGAGAAAGCAAAGATTTAATTGAAAGAGTAGTGCGGGAGTAGAATATTGGGATATTCAAAACAGAGGGCGTGGACAAAGACAAACAGGTAATTTACAGCTAATCTGTTTTTAAGTTTTGCGCCAAATACGTGTGCGCTTCGTAGCCTCCATCTTACCATCACATCACCGGATTAGTAATCCTTAGAAAAGAAGTAATCACATCACCAGGCTAGTAATCCTTAGAAAAGAACTGTTTTGTTCGAGTAAAAAGGGTCCGCGAATTCCCCACGCCTTGGTTTATTTCTCCTTATAAATCCAACCCAACAGCATCCAAAACGATTTAATTCCCAACCCCTCTTAGTCCTACTGCGTACGCATGGTTCCATACATATATATATAGAGAGACAAATATGGCCAATCCTTCAACTAATGCGCCCCCAAAAGAGCAACCACCACGCACCCCAACTGTCCAAATCCCTTACCCTCCACTCTCTCTCGATCTACAGCCGCAAGACCACTCGCCAAAACCTTCGTCTGCCGGTCCACAGGACAACCCATTAGCAAGACTTGTTCAATCTCCAGGCAGGACGATATTGAGTCATCAGCCACAATACCAATCGCCAAAATCTCCAACACCCAGCAGCGTACCATCCATTCCATCGCCGACGCCGACGCCGACGCCGACGCCAAGGCCTGTTCAATCTCCAACTGGTTCTGGAAGGCATCCGACTTATCGGGGAATAAGAAGCAGGAGCGGCAAATGGGTATCTGAAATACGCGAGCCGCGTAAAACGACGCGTATATGGCTTGGAACGTACCCGACCCCTGAAATGGCAGCTGCCGCGTATGATGTGGCCGCTATTGCCCTAAAAGGTTCCGACACGGATCTAAACTTTCCCGATATGATTCTTTCGTATCCAAAAGCGGCTTCTACATCGGCAACCGATATTCGGGCCGCAGCTGCTAGTGCTGCCGCTTCCAGGCTACCCAAGCCAGATACTGGGTCATCAAAAGACTCAAAAGAGGAACAAGGCAAGCCTGAAAATGAGGGTACCATGTCAAGTACTTGCATAGAGTCTGGTTCTGGTCAGGAATTTATTGACGAGGAAGAGCTTCTAAACTTTCCCAATTTGATGGTGGACATGGCTGGAGGAATGCTTGTAAGCCCACCCAGGATAAACTCACCACCCTCAGATGATTCACCGGAGAATTCAGATGCGGAAAGCCTGTGGACTTACACTTAAAGAGACTCAAAATTTACTATGAATGTGATAGTATAAAGTACAAAGAAATGTAGGAGCCTGTGATTGAAAAGTAGATGATGATCCGTAACATGAAGGTATTCATGACTTTTTTCCCCTCTTTTTTTTTTTTTTTTATTACCACTCCTTCTGTTTTGATCTCTTTGAGGGGTATGCCACATGGCTGGGGGTGTTTTGCAGCTGATTACGTTGGCTTGGAATTAATTTGCTGTAAGAGCGTGTAAAATTAGCCATAAAAAGAGTTGGAGCTTTTTTTCTGTTGGTATGTTGTGAGCAGTGTGTATTTCAGAGCTGTTGCTCTTAAGCTTGGCTGGGGTAATTAAAGCAAGGGAGTCTTTGCTTTTCCCCGGTAGTTTCCAATAATACAAGTGTTTTCATCACATCCGTGGACCCCGGTGGACGCAAAGTTTCTCGTACGACAACGTCTCATCCTCATAATCAGCATTGCACCTTTTCTTTCTCTGGTTTCTTTCATCTATTGCCTATAAAAAGCCTATTTCTAAGTTAAAGCCATTGGGTCGCACTGACTTGACTGGAAATAACTTTCCTTTTAGAGCCAAATTAATTTGGTAACATCGATGAGGATATAAACTAAAAAGTAATGCGATATACTGCCATTCTAAACTTGATAGATTCTAGTAGTATATCTTTTTTCTTAGCGTAATTCTGAAAACTTGTAGGACACACGGATTGATACCTTTGGAAAAGGAAAAAGAACCGCGAAATAATCACTTACAAAGTCGGAAATAAGATGCCTCACCTGTTATAACGGTATAAACTGTTTTACAAACAACGTTTTGTTCTCTTTTGAATGTTTTCATACAAAATAATGTTTTATTTTGCAACTTCAATCCAGTTTCTTGTTTTTTTCTTTTTGGTATATTGCAGCCTTAGGTACAGTTGGTAAAATGTTTGTTAATTACTAACGCAAAAAAAAAAAAAAAAACTAAAAGTAATTATGCTAAGCCTAGCTGACACTAATACTCTTTAATTATGAGGGTCATATTTGCGAACATGACTTTAATTATGAATGAAATTACAATCTTTTAGCTGAGCATAAATAATATTTGCGAACATGTAGAACAATAATAGTTGCATCTTACAAATTAGAAGAAGACATTTTATATTTATTGCCATATTATGCTTTGTGCAAAACAATGCAAAAGTAATCGGTAATATTGTAACAACCAAGAGCTGTCAGTTGTTAGTCGATGTTAGAATTTAAAATTTAATTTAATTAATTTATATAATTATTCTCAAGAGATAATATTTAATAATTTTAAATTTTAAATTATTGTATCTCTAATTTTTCTTTTTCTTGTCTCACATTATAACCTCTTTTTGTAAAAAAGAGTGAAATAATCAACTAAGTCGACAAATTATTTTTTATGTTAACATGGTGCAAAAAGGATTTAAAAACTCTTGGGATCAAGTTTGTAGAATTAAACCTATGAGTTGATCAAGTAAATATGCAAGTTGGGACTTTCTCAACAATCTAATCGACTAAACATATCGAATAATTAATTAACAATGAAATTCAAATTGAAATTTTGATTTTTGAGTGAATTAGTCGACTTACCAGATGAAATTAGTCGACGAATTGAATGAAGTTAGTTGATTAAATTTTAATTATAATTTGAAAAGTCAAATTGATTGGGTAAACATATCCTCCATATGATTCAAGAGATATGCCTTTTCGTAAATATCGGTATGTATAAATATAAAAAATAGAGACCATTTCAGCATAGAAGATACAAAACAAATACAACAATTGCTAGAAACAAACTTTTCTTTCTCTAAAATAATCAAGCCTTTAATACATTATTTCTTGCAAAAAATCTTGTGTAAGAAAAGCAATTTTATTCAATGAATTTCACTAATTCAAATTGTAGTCAAACAAGAATTTCATTATATTCTATATTTATTCAATGAATCCAATTGCAAATCATACATGGAGAGAATGAAGGAAATTAAAAAAAAAAAAAAAAGATATTTATAGCACGTTTTGAAGTCACTTCTTTTGTATTATGACTTTCCATTTACACTCATAATTAGAATAATATAAGAGAGATAAGGTTCACAATTCTAATCTCATCTCTCTTCCTTTAAACTTTTTTATACTTAAAACGAAAAAAAAAAAGATATGATAATATGGTATGGAACATAAATATCAAGAATTGGTATTACAAAGATCTTAGAGCTACATATATTTTCTTATATACAAAAAATCTAGGGATAGATAGATTGCTTAATTTTTTAAGTGAGAATAAAATGTGACATATCTCGTAAAAGTTATGTATTTAGGATTAGCGCCTACAAGAGGTCACCAATAATATTAATTCGAATCCGAAGCCTTTGTTATTAAAGATGACAAATTTACTAATTGAACTAACCTCTTATTATTTAGGACTAAATATCGTGATATAATGTTAAGTAGTGATTTACTTTCACCAAGCGTAAGTGTCTTATACACCATTTAGTCATTTGATTAAATGCACACTATCAACACCGTTGTTACACTTTAAAACCAATCAATGATTTTAAAATTTAGATAATTCACCCGCTTCTTTTAGGATGTGGATTCTTGTAAGGCTGAGATTTAATTTTTAACACTTGTTAATTCTTCTTTCCTAATTCTTCTTAGACTTCTTTATAAAAAAAAAAAAAAAGGAAAAATTCTTCTTAGACTTTGGCTTCTTTATTAAAAAAAAAAAAAAGAAAATCAAACGACGAGGCTCACTTTCGATATATGATATTTACTTATTATATATGATATTCGGATATATATCAATGAACGTAATAAGTGGCTAATGAATGCTTTGACATTATAAATAAAATAGGAGGAAAAAAATAGTACTCTAGCTAGCATACCATGTTGCAGTTAAAGACACTTGATCACATAATTTATTTCATAAAATTCTTATAATTCAAACTGTTATCACTAAAACCTGTGTCTATAATTTGTGAGTAATATGACCAATCATAATGATTCTTTGCCTAGATAAAAGGCAAAATTTGTGGCGAAAGTCATGGAAAGAAATCTCCATCCGAAATGTTAAAACCCGAAAGAGATAAATTTGTGATGCTTTTGAAGGTATTGTCGTGGGATCACATGGGTCGTTTGCAGTTTGAATGAACTTATTAACTAATAGAGGAGACCATCAAGAATCAAGAGATAGAAATATATATTACTTCATCCTTGGGTCCCAATCCGGCAACATGAAAATTTTGGCATTAATTAAGAACATTTTATAAACATGGAGAAATAGTAATTAAGCTTCAAAAAGTTTCATCCATCCATCAACAAAAAAAGCTTCCATAACCTAACGGGTCTGGTAGTAGAGTGCTGGAGTACTCGACTACTAGAATTCAAACTTGATAGTTTCAAATATATATATATATAATTTCATAAATCTTGCCATTTTAGTTTTGTTCAAGCTGCAGGCCTATATGGCATATATTTCATTTTTTTTTTCCTTCATTCATCTTCCCATTTATTTTCTTCAAAAATAGTGTTAATTAACTAATACTATGAGGATTTTTCTACAACTTTTAAAGTGAAAATGAAATATAGATTTGTTTGGGCTTAAGTCGGCAATGAAATTTGCTGCGTAGGTCAAAGTCAAACTTCTTGCCTCTAATTTTGAAAATAGGAAGTCGAAACAAAAAAAGGGTAAACTTTAGTCGCAGAAAGAAGCTCATCAAGCAAAAGGTCGAAATAATCAAGGTATGAATTAAGAAACGACCGACAACATTACCGCCGGACCGGTAGTATCAGATTTCATCAGACGACAGTGACTCTACAATATTGTTCCAAAAGTTAGATTTGGGTCTTCAAACATCAATTGATGAGAAAGTCACAAATATTCTACTTTGACAATAATATTAATATGATATCGATTGCATCATGAATTTAGAGAAAAAAAAGAAAAGGAAATAAAGGAATTCTTTGCACCTTTCATTCAAAAACACAGTTATAAATATATGTTTGAAGTAGCTACTAAAATGATTACTGTAACTAAAAAACAGTTATAGGTGGGCCCATTTATCATTGATGGCATGAATTTTTTCACGATTTGGAATTCAGTTAATTTCAAGTCGAAAAGTAAATGAACAACAATATTGTACGAGGAGTACTGCTGTTTTCTTTTCTTCATTGCCAGTTTATGGACTGTTTCAGTTCTCAACTTTTGTTTGTCGCTAAAATTTCAAACATTGCCGTCCTAAAATCTGATAACTGAACATGTGCAAAGTGGTGGAATGTGTGTTTAATAAAAAAAATAATAATGCCGGTGAATTGAATGTTTATAATAAGAAGAAAAAATAATCATTAAAAATATTAGATTATAAGTTATATATTAATAAAAATTTTAAATTGTTTAATATTTATAAAATATATTAATAAATAATTAATTTTATTAATGAATAATCAAATTTATTCAAAATATTTATTAATGTACTAAATAATAAAATTTATTATATTAAATTAACAAATTTATTTTGCAAATTTTAAATGAAAAAAAAATCTCACTTATAGATCATCAATTAAACCAAAAATAATCAATTGATGACTGATAATTTTTTACTGGCACAGTTATTTTCTTTGGAAACAAAAGTTGTACCTAGCAATTTTTTTTTTTTTTATTACAACTACAAAGTCTGTTGGTTGCAGTGTAATTCAAACGGTACCTTAGTGTTAGTCTGTGACCCGGCCCCCAGAATATGTTAAGAAATTTCAAATATACTATACTACTATATGATAAAATAACAGATAGTCCAAATTAAAGTTCAAATGGTCTGGTCCTGTTGGCCAACATGCCCGAAAAAAGACCACCAACACGTCAGAGTTCTTACACGTTTTGGGCTTCGCTCTTTTCAGAAGTGTTTTGGAAGGAAAATATCTTAGAAAAGTCAACATACGTTTTGAAGGCAGGCCAGATATTGTCTGCCTCCAAATGTCAAATTTGTGTCACACCCCCAACCGGCTCTCTACAGTAATCCAAGGCCAATCTTCTCTTCTCTTTCGGTGAGGGCGAAAAAGAGTATCTCAAAGTACAAAACCAAAATTTTGCTTACTATATTAAAGTATACATTAAAATTAATGTCGGCATGCTGAAAAGAAATTAAGAATCTCAGAATAATCACCAGTTCTTGTTATCAATTTGAAAGAGGTTAAAGACAAAAAAAAAAAAAAAACGTATTAAATATATATAGTAATATAATAAAAAATTTTAAATTTTGTTTGGATCTAATTTATTTTGAATAATTTAAAAGATATATTTCTCACATTAGTTTAATACATTTATGAATTTTACTTTCGGTAATTTTTTTATAAAATCTAACTCTTTCCTATTAATTGAATTAAATATATATTTCAAATGGCCGAGAATATATTTTTAATAAGATATATATATTTATGTATAATAATATTGAATAATAATAAAAGGAGAGATTTATTTATATTATTATAAGTATTACATCCATTCTTAATCTTTGGATTTGAATAAAAATAAATAATTTAAATCTTAACCATTTTAACGTTAAAGGTAAAAAAAATATAACAATTCCATTAGTATAACCAAATTGTTTCTTCGAATAATAATAATAATTATTATTATCATTATAATATAATTAGATTATTAAGACTTCATAATTTTTATTTGGTGCATTTTAGTGCCAAGTAATCACACTGACGATGTCAATGCTGGCCCTACTAAGAATGAAATTTGGTAGTAAATGAGAAAATGAGAAGCAGCACAAATTAGGGTTAAGGAAAGTGAGCTCTAATTCGTTCAAAATTTTCAGCCAAGAATTCAAGTCAAACTAGAGAATCATCTAAGATTTGGCCCCTCCCTTTTAATTTCTTTTTGCTTCCATGTGTTTAGATTTGTATCTTCAATTTGTCGCTTAAAATGGTGGAGCCCTCATAATGGGAATAGGTGAACC